CTGAATGTAAGATATGGTACTTTTATTGAGGCTCAATTTAATTAATTGCAGTATTACCATTGAATTATATATGAATAATTATTCGTTGTAAGGAGCGTTAGTGTGCAGGCTATTTTTGTGCCTATAACAGTTGTTTTGCTTTAGGAATAACATTGAATAACATGATAGCGTCGAGGGCTCGTTTATAACTATTTGATTTTTTTATTTTCTGAAAATTTGATTTAACCCTTCGCTATATAGACAAGTATTGTTACCAGGCCTTTAGGCACGAAGTAATGAATCCGTAGACAGAAGGTTAAATCAGTATAGTTATACACTTACGCAGCAACCATAGGAACGTAGAATATATCCCTCCCAAGAACAGAATAGTGATACATCAGTACCCTTGGTGGCCTTTTGATCGTAACTGATTGAGCACATGAGTCCTCAACACCCATGGCGGCCATTTGATCGCATCTGACTGGCCACGAAACAATCCCCGGTTGAAGGTTAGGTGCGGGTGGTCAGTGGTGCGGGTGCCTTTTGATTACACCCGTAATTTTGGAAGCCCTTACTTGATATCATCCCTGGAAGCATTGCTTGACGTAACTTCTACTCAAACTCACTTCCCACCCTCACCTCCCCATTTCCTGCGTCATTTAAGATCATTAGCCAATTTTTAAATTATTTAGTGGCCATTTCTTAATTTATTTTTAGTAATTTTTATAAAGTTGAAAAAAATTAAGTAGATCGCGATAACTTATCAACTATTTTCCTAATTAAATAATCACAGAAGGCAATAACAATCCAGGAATGCGCCGCCTACAATCGTGAATGCTAATGATACGTAATCTAGACGTCTCGTGTCATTATGATGTCTCGTACGGCATATCTGCGTGAATGCATACATATCTCCAAATCTTGTCTTCACTTCGACCCTTCACGTCCAGCAACTTGCATTCCATTCGTACCTGAACAACATGGCGCCATATATGTATACCACAACGTGCTGCATTCCATTCATACCTCAATAATATGGCATTATTTATGCCTACCTGTATTTCATTATAACGTTCGTTCTCTATGGTTTTCATGGTACGTCATTTTATAGGAGCAGATAATTAACTACAACCTTCATCTAGGGTAATTACAGGCAGCCTAGCGTAACAATTGCACCTCAGTTTCTTAATTAAACTAATGACGATGGCATTTGCCTTGATTTGCAGCTCTCAAATGTCGATCACTTCCGGGACTCGGTGTTTGTACGCTTTTAATGACATGATAAGCTATTTTTTTTATTGTTTAAGGTCCAATTTGAAAATTATAGAGCAATTTTAGATATGTAATTGCTTTAATACTGTGTTCAACGATTGCAGCTTGTCGGAAATCTCATGTTTTAATAACTGTTTATCATTTTATTGAGGCATTAAAAACTTTTGAATTATGACATGTCTTCGCTTCTTGATAAATTTCATTCAAATATCATGAGCAAATAAAATGCATAGATAATTAAATAAAAAGCATGACAATTTGCAACAAAATTTCATTTTTTATAGGAAATTTGTTTATTTGCGTAACAGATAAGTCAATTGCAACGGTACGTGCTCAGAACCAGGAAATGTTTCCACACAAGTAGAGGATTGTACCTAAATTTGTTCTAGGGTCTTGCCCAACACTGGAGGGAAGACCCGCTATACCAGTTAACTGTGGAGAACGTGGGAAAACCTCACGTGTTGGTGCAACAAAGCAAACGTGGGAAAACGAAAGGGAATAACGGGAGCATGGAAACATGCGTGCAAGTGTTGGCAAACATTTTCACGTTGTTTTGGGTCTCGGGTATATGGGACAAATGCAGGACGTGTCGAAACTATTTCCCATTACCTTAATCCTGTGAGCTTACTCGTCGTTCTGATATTAATTGTGCAGCTCCATGAATCTGATTTTCAACGTCAAAATAACCTGTAGCCTTAGACTAACTCTGAACCAACCGGATAATACTTTATGGTACATTTAAAACTATGAATAAAATAACATTATCAGGCTGCCAGCGAAAAAAGCAGATGTTATATTTGAGGACAAATTGTGATGCTTGGGAGCGCGGGTACTGAACACATGTGGGATGTGGTAGTTCTGATCATGTGGTGTGACGTCATGGCTTACACTAACCATTGGTCAGGATGGCGGTGGAGTTCCTGGTCATGTGGTGTGGCGTCATGGCTTACACTGACCATTGGTCAGGATGGCTGTGGAGTTCCTGGTCATGTGGTGTGACAACATGGCTTACACTGACCATTGGTCAGGATGGCTGTGGAGTTCCTGGTCATGTGGTGTGACATCATGGCTTACANCTGTCTCTTATACACATCTAGATGTGTATAAGAGACAGGGCTTACACTGACCATTGGTCAGGATGGCTGTGGAGTTCCTGGTCATGTGGTGTGACAACATGGCTTACACTGATAATTGGTCAGGATGGCGGTGGAGTTCCTGGTCATGTGGTGTGACATCATGGCTTACACTGACAATTGGTCAGGATGGCGGTGGAGTTCCAGGCCATGTGGTGTAGCGTCATGGCTTACACTGACCATTGGTCAGGATGGCGGTGGCCGGTGGAGTTCCAGGCCATGTGGCTGCACTCGGCTATGTCAACATTGGTGAGTCTAACCTCAGTTTCTTAATCCACAGCTGCATGTGGCCACTTTTAGCGACCATTGCCATCGAAACGGCTCAAGTAAATTGATATGCTTTACACTTGAAACAACGGAATTTGTGTTGGTATATGATGTTATAATTATTTTTTTAATTACTTTTAGAATGGATGTGATAAAATGAGTCAAACCATCGTTTTTATCATGCATTCATACATATGCAATTTTCGCTACGCTTACCGCCCGTCGTCGCCTAAATATTGACACCGAGAGGACTATCATTTAACCTTAATTTTAAATTATATTCGGGAATAAATTATTACAACGCCTGTTTGAAGCCCAGTTTTGCTGTTTTATGCTATTTAATCTGCATAATAATTTTGTTGTATTATACTATTTATTATTAGGAATGAAATCTCCCACCGATTGTGATGTCTTGCTCCTTGCTGCTTGTCTGCGGTAATATCACATTCCGAATGGAATATCTTATATATTTTATTCCAGAAGAACTGCAATTTTTGACGTACCATAAGCGGCTTAATACATATTACATGCATGGTCTAACTCTAGCAGTACCGGTATCTACCTAACACTACATGTAAGGTATAATCTATAATGCTACCTGCTGATGATGTTTATTTCCTGCATCAGGTTAGATGACAGGTGTGAGGGGTCCATCCACATTACTGTAGTAGACTCTTTCTTCAATACCGTCACTTTGCTCAGTGCTGGGTATCCCGAATAAGATTGTCGACCCTATTCTCCCACACTGAGCAGGTGAGCATAAAAGCGTAGGGCAATATTTGTGTATTTGTGTAGCTTAGGATAAAACTATGGATGTTGACATTTATGCTTGATAAATTTGAACTAATTGAAGACGAATCAACATAATTGCATCGATACTAATTTAGGCTTGTTTCTTGAGCAGGTCAGATCTTTAGGACTGAACCTTGTCCCACGAGTTCACATACTAGTTCAAATACTAATTTATATTCACGTATCCACTCGCATCAACTTACCTTTTTATATTCACTTTGTACTATTGTCAATAATATTCCCTTGTATCCTACATACTTTAAATCTGTAACGTTAACTGTAGTTTATAAATCCAACCTGCCTACTTGAATTTGATTTGCATACCCCTAAATATAATTTCGAACCGACGTTCCCTGACATTTATGATTTTTTATGTTCAGAATGATTTTTCCGTTATTGGTGAACTTTTTCGATCATGATATAACAATTATTAATGAACTAAAAACGTACTCCTTGACGCAAGACTTGTAGACATCTCTACACACTTACTGAAATCCTTGCAAAACCAGTAAATTTTTTTTTACAGTCTGAAATAGAAAATAAATAGCATTCCCGTGAATCATCATAACGTTTTTAAATATTTACTCACTAACTTTCAATCCTCCGGTCATTTGTTATTCGCTAGCGAGACAACAGCGTCGGCTGTTCGATAAACGTTATGAATTTTTTTTTCATTACAATCATCCGTCGTTGGCTCTTCTTCGGCGAAATTTCGGCGAACTTCCACCTATTAGGCTATTCCACCAGTTGTTGTAAAGAAAACAACTTTTTGAACATTAGGTACGATTTTGAATATTCATATTTATATTAAATCTGCACATGATCGGGCAACGAATTCTTTATATTATTTTGCTTTCTGTTGATGTACAATATTCGAATTCCTAACCCTGGAAACCAACATCTGTTCACAAGACACAAGGTAAAGAAGTTCCTTCCTGAACCTCGGTTCCCGTATTTCACGCACGCCACACCAGATCACCGCGGGCACTCCAGGGTGCGTACTGAGACCTGCGCCAACGTGAAGCTCCGTACAGACGAAGATGCACCAGGACGACCCTCGAGTTTGAGAGAGACAAGGTCGTTCAGGTCTCGGCGCGGGTCGGAGCCTCAGTGACCATAAAAGTGCAACTTTTTTGTGCGTGGGCTTCTGAGATTATTCATTGTGTCACATCGCGGAAGTTATAATAACTGATGTTACGTGATAGACGAACTTCAGCCATTAACGTAGGATTCTAATACACAAATTGATTATCCTGCTTCATGCAGGAAGTGCATGCTTCACCTATACATATAAGCAAAAAAAATTATTTTCTACAATTTTACTTCACCATTGCTCTGAAATGTCGTACGTTTTTACTAAATCTTAGGAATGACACATTGTTAACAAATTTTACATCACTTTATCGAATATCACTTTATTATATGAAATGAATTGAATTGCAGTCACTCTAATATGGAAAAAATAATCACTTTTTTAAATGACAGTAATGCTTATATGAACAATGTTTAGTTCAATTAAATTAGATATTAAAGCAGAACCGTCCAAGTTTTCATTATTAAATTCAACAGAGCCCAGGAGGTTTTAGGGAAATTTTTATATTATTACGGTAAATACACGTTCAAAAGTAGGGCGCAATATACCCTTCACTTACGTTCGAGCGACAGTGCTTTGACAGGTGCGATGGTGTTGATCTGTGAGGTACTCCTGTCCGAACAGGTATTTAGATCATTAGATGGAAACAATCATTGTTTAACTAGAGTTCAGGGGTGAACAGTAAACTTAGTTCCTTTTGTGAAAATAGAGAATGACTTTTATGCTGAGCGTTTTATTCTTTCTGATGTTCGCCACACTGCTGGGCCGTGATTCTCGTGAATGACTGAATCGATGTCGATTGACGGATTGTCCATAGTCCATACTGCATCATCCCATATTATTGTTATGTTGTTATATGTGTAAAATTGCTATTTTTATGTGTATTGTTATCGGTAAAAAAAGTTGTCCAACAAATCTTCTTTTTCTTTACAAGCTATTACTAGAGCTAGAGGCTTAGGAGGAAAGATTAAAGATTATGAAGCTTCCAAGCCTCCATTATCGACGTCTGCGTGGGGACCTCATTGAAGTATACAAATATACTCGTGGCTTATACAAGGTCCCAGAAGGATTACTAGAATTTGAAACAAGAACCAACACCAGGGGCCACGGCTATAAACTAAAAAAACAGCGTTGGATTTTGGAACACTAAAAGTTCAAGAATCGGCAACAGGCCATGGGCCTATGTCTTCAACGCCGACACTTCTATTCTATTCTGTTCTAGAGCTTTTGTCAACATTTTTTGAATTAAGAGATTCCTGCTGGATGAATTATTGCCTTATTTGCCTAGGCAGCTAGGCTATCTAATTGTTGAAAAGTGAATGGACCAGGCACCGGTGTAAGCAGGGTTAAGCCAAAACTTTCTTAAATTATTAAAACTTGAAAGTATGGTACTTTAGAGCTATATATGAAATTATGAACTACTTTTTGTATTAAATAAGAAATTTTCAACTTTGTTTCACTCAGGCCAGGGAGTTAGCATTGTTACCGGACACCGGAGGTTAAATTAGGCTACTGTGTAGCCCAACCTTCATGTCTTTCTTTACTGATTATCATATTTCTTCAATTCTCAATCCAACTCGATTTAAATTAAATTCAATATTTATATCTTTTTCAGTATAGATGACCAAAGTATAATTTGCAGACTTGAAGTAAAGTATCTCTCTTGAAGTATCCCTATTCAGTATCTCAGCCTGGGCACTCAGTTGCACTGTGAGTGGTATAGACCAGGTCTCATAGTGTGGCACAAGAGTCGTTGTAAAATTTATCTCAAGGTCATCTGGTCGTTGAACAACCGCATGCGGCATGCCAGTCGATAGGTAGTCGATAAGATTTATGCAGTCGATAGGTTTCTTCAGTAGTTCGATAACTTAACAATGAAAACACTAGTGACTAGTCGTTAATATTGAGATAACCTAAAGTCTATGTACATTATATTCTTTATATACAACAAATGCCTAACAGATAATGCATTGATGTTTAATTTTTCAAACCAGCAGTGCCTTCTTAGGTTTCTTTACTAATGAATTCACCGCTTCACCTCACCGTAAATATTGTGCGTAAACATATGCAAGCTTTCCCTAAAATACGGAGGTCACACCTTACTCTTATCCAGAACTGCTTACTCAGTTTTAAATACTCAATCACCAGAATTATCAAACCTCAACTCTATTTAATATAATTTCATATTCTCTCAGGCATATCCAAGAATACCAGTTAGTTACAATGGGAAGAAATTAAAACTACGGATGTGCACCTCTGTTGTTCACGTGTGTACTGCAAATTTAAGCATAACACATTCCTGAATCATTCATCACAGAGTGAATTTCAACAAATGAAATTATCTAAATGTAAAAATCAACCTTGTGAATCAAGTCACGACAAGTACAAGAATCAGCAACAGGACATGGCCTATTTCTTCACTGAATCGACACTTTTGCAGACCCACCTGCGGTCCTGGCTGCGGATTCGCGCAACTGAACCACTCATAAGTCCTTCAATACTGAACAAATTTGCTTGAATTTTAATATGTGAGTTACGAGTAAACATTATCGATACGCTGCCGCAGGAATTAATAGGTACAGATTTTTACAAAAATTATTTTTAAATTAAAAACAATAAACATAATTTTTCTCAACCCAGACACTCATAATTCCTTCAATAGAGAACAGACTTGCTTGAATTTTGGATTATGAATATGTATTATCGATACGCTGCCGCAGGAATTATTACAGATTTTTACATTAATTAGTTTTTAATTAAAACGAATAAACATAATTTTTAGGCAACCTAACGATTCATAACTCCTTCAATACATAACGGATCTGCTTACAATTAAAGTATCGAGATTCAGATGCAGTAAATGAAAAATAGAATATGCGCACTTTATTTATGGTATTTAATTTCACGATAGGGGTTTCTTCCCAAGGCACGTGGATGAGCATTCTTTCAATTGGGTAGCATATCATAATTAAATCATGAACAAGAACTCACTAAAGCCTTCAGCACATGTTTAGATCATAGAATTTCTCTCTGACGACTGCTGTGTTCTCAAGTTATATGGCTGATCATTAGACTCGTGACCTGTCATCCAAGGCGACCAAAAATTATATCCAAAATTCAGATATGATTCAATGAAAAATTGCACTCAAACCTTTTTCTCGCGTCTATGTAGTACATTTTTTGTGCCTAATAACACCGTTCACTAAGTATAGGGCCATTAGGTTATAACCATTTTTATTTCACAGTTCATATGAGTAAAAACCATTTGCCATTGAGCTGCCCATCCAAGCCTGTAACTTGCGGAAAAATTAATCTCGCATGTCATTTATAAGTCATTTATTAGCAAAAAAAAATTGTATAAACAAATTTCCCATTGATTAATATTAAAGCGTGTGATCTGACTTGCAACATAATGATACTTGTATAAATTTTTCCAGCGAGTTGAATATCATCAATGGAATATGCGCGTGTTACGAACGTCTCAAAAATAATTGAGACCGTAAATGCTGCCGGTCTCACTGTAAATATCTAAATTCAGCGAGCAATTAATAACTCCCAAAGTAATGACCGTAGCTCAATGAAACTTGTACACGTATTCATTAGGACCTAATGGTGATGTTTAGCACGTGAAAATTTTTTTAATTTCACCTTCTTTCGTGAGTAATATGGCAATACGTGCAGAAATTTGCAGTGAACAAAACATTTTTAGCTCATTTTCTTATATATGGAAAAAATGCCCTATTGTGTTCATCATATTTGTCTATCTGTCTGTCCATGACTTTGTTTTCGTCGACGAGAAAATGTGCTCTCACTCATTGCAGTGAGTACTGAGTTATATTTTTTCTAACTACTGTACAGATTTGAACGGAACTTTTAATATCCAAACACATGCAACTTATTCATCAGGACCTAATGGTAATGTTAAGCTTGTAAAAAAAATTCCATTTCACCTTCATTCGTGAGATATAAAGCAATTGGGGCCGAAATTTGCACTGACCAAGAAATTAATTCTGAACTACTGAACTGATTTGGACCAAACTTTGAATATACATTCCTACCTTGCAATGTTTATGTTGAGCTTGTGACAATTTTTTTTATTTTTCCTTCATTTGCAAGTTATACGGCTATACGTACCAGTATATGGCTCGTTGTCAATTCAAATTTAAAAATTTACCTAAAAAATGCCGGTCGTTTCTCCATATATCCGTATAACTCGCGAATGAAAGCGAAATCAAAAATTTTTTCACTAACTGAGAGGTTAGGATTGTGTATTCAAAGTCTCATTAAAATCTATTCAGTAGTTTAGAAGAAATTTCTTGTTCACTGCAAATTTCGGCCCAAATTGCGATGTACCTCACGAATGAAGATAAATGGAAAAAACTTGAAAAGGAAGTTAAAACCCCAAAAATTGTCACAAGCTAAACATAACCGTTGGAAGGTTAGGAATGTATATTCAAAGTTTGTTCGAATCTGTTCAGTAGTTTGAAAGAAATTTCTTGGTCACTGCAAATTTTGGCTCCAATTTCTGTATAACTCAGGAATGAAGGTGAAATGGAAAAAATTTTACAAGCTGAACATCACCGTTAGGTCTTATGAAGTTTCATCGAACTTGGATTTCATTGCTAACAAACTTTCAGATGTACGTATTGTTAAAGTGCATGAGTATCATGAATACAGGCATCGTCATATATTACATGCAAGCTTTCAGATGTATACGTAGTGTTGGAGCGCACGCATAACATGAATACAGGCCTTATGATATATATCGTATACAGACTGTCAGATGTGCGTATTAAGTTGGGGACGACTGAAATAACCCAGCATTGCCCAATACCAGCATAATTTTCATACTTCACCCCGTGCGCAAGCATACTGCAGAGCAAATTAGCCAACATGATTACTTGCTGAAAGCCACAGGGACTAAATTCCTTCATGGATGTAAACCAGCGAGCCAATGTATCAGTTTGTGGGATGAGGCATTGCTTGTTTCAAGCTGGTGTGGCGAGATGAGGCAAGTAAGAACAGCTGCATAGGTATTAGACTGACTATTTCTATTGCATGTAGAGGGTTGGCATTGGCTTTTGGGCTGATTTAAGAGTCAAATTTTTGGGCTACGGCAGCGCTCCCTTAAGTTGAAGTGCGTGAATTTCATGCACATAAACATCGTAATATTTTGCATACAAATTTTCAGATGTACGTAATCGGTTAAAATGCATGAACATCATGCATAAAAACACCGCAATATATTGCACACCTACATGCTCTTACATGTCAAGGTTAAAATAAAAATATAACATGCAGAAAATTTCCTCAAGGAAGATTGATTCTAGCTTCTAAGTGGAAAAAAACACTGGCGTAATCTGTCCGATTATTTTTGCAAGCTTCAATACATATGATGGTTGCGTTGTCCCGGGGCTGAACATTTTACATCTGCCGCTCGTAATGCGCTGTTGGGGTCCGGGTTTTAGTCAGTACCGCAGTCATATCTTGTCGGGTCTCGCTAAGTTGCGTGTTGGCAGTCGTCAGAAGTGTACTGTGGAAGAGTCCCATTAGTTGGCAGTCGTTGAAAAAGATAAATGACCTATTATTTTAGCTCGAAAGTTGTAAAGTAAAAAAAAATTAGTCGATAACTTCAGCGAAAGTCGTTGAAATTCCAACGACTATTGCCACTGTATGAGACCTGGGGTATAGAAATTTATATCATTTATTCATTGATAATTTTGGTTAAGTTTTGTCCTTGCTTTTACTTTGTTGTGTTGTTAGGGACAGCCTTTAAATGTAATAGCTTCATCGATAGTTAGGTTACGGATTTTGTCATTTTTGTTTTGAGTTACTGTTACGTGACCTCGTTTAGACCCGCCCTGTAACTTGTCATTGCTATGAGATCCACCACGGAGGTTGGTACTTGCATTGTTTATCGTGTGTTAGTCTTCCTTGTTGAAATAGTGTTTTTTTTTGTGATATTGAATATTACTATTATATTAGTTGTTATTTATGTGTTATATTCATTTGTTAGAGTTCCGTTAATTCAAGTCCTTAATTTATATTTATTCGTATTTTCAGCGGGCTCCCATGTTAGGACATGATCAGGAATTAATAGGCAAGGGCTAGAAAGACACGTGGTTTATAGTTTTGATATTTGTTTTCTTGTATTTGTCTTTCATCTGTTATTATATTTCTTGATTTATTAGTTTTTCTTCATCCTTTAATTGCGATCATTGGCCACGTGTTTGGGGTTAGAATGCTTATTTATTGAATAGTCCCCAACAGTGTTCATTTCTGACTGATATGGTTTAGTTTGAGGAAGTCAATTTATTATATTGGATTATGGTTATAGTTAATTCTAGTAAGCTTATGTTCTCAATTCATCTTGCAGTGTTCCTTTATTTATCTGTCCACTTGTGATTCCTTTTAATTCAATCCTCATGTGAGTACTCGTTAATTTTAAAAATAAATTCACAATATGGAGATGAGCTTTTACTAGTTTTATGGAGTTTAATGGTTCTTGCTTTGTTTACATTATACATCCCATCAGGTTATCAGTCATTCATGATTGCATTTTTATTCTGTTCTTTTTGTTTGCAGTTACATCTGCTCATCTCCACCTGTCCATGCTCCTTACATCCAATTCACTAGCATATTTTCATTACACATTTCAAGTTAAAACAACCATTTCATTTGCAATTTTATTAAGTTGTGTGTTTATTTACTGTCCCATATTTTAATTCATTTTGCATTAGAACCAGTCTTTCATTTTCCTTCATTCAGAGTAGGGTTGTTGCCAGTTAGTTAGAAGCAGATAACTGGTTTATCTCACCTGCGGCGCGAGACATTTTAGACCCGGCAACAGCATCAGTCAGGATTATTTTATTAGTGTTTTATAAATTTGCATGATTGAGCTATTGGAATTTATGCAACCTTAGTTGAGGCTTGAGTAAGTAGGGCATAGAGCTGCCCAGGGCGCAGAGGGTGGATGCAGCGTCGCCAATATATGGGTTTTTAAGCCCTAAGCATTGCCGGGTAATTTTAACCCTTTACGCCATGGCGTGACGAATTCGTCACACCAGGGACTACCGTCAACCGGGGCAACTCGGGACTGGCGGGGTAACTCGGGACTGGCGGGGCAACTCAGGACGCACCTCCGACACGGCGTAAAACTGTTATAGTAGCAAAACTAATTGGAATATTGCAAAACTAAATATAGTGGCGTAAACATCAACATTTTTCCTATCTATGTAGTATAAAGGCCTGTCTCTTATACACATCTAGATGTGTATAAGAGACAGTTGTAGTACAACTCTTCTAGTTACATATGCAACAAACAAATTTTAGGAAAGTCTCATAGTTTGCAAATGGGGGGCGCCGCCCCCCAATGGGGGAACTTAGACCACCTAATGTCAGCCCTGACGGGGTAACATAGACCGGCTTGGAAATTAATTTAAAATTACCATATATAACATTTCATGTTTGATACACCTATTAATGTTTTTTCTTTAGGTTTCAGACTCTACAGAGTCTTATATATGGTAATTTAACTTAATTTCCAAGCCGGTCTATGTTAACCCTGTCAGGGCTGCCATTAGGTGGTCAGAGTTCTCCCATTTGGGGGAACTTAGACCACCTGGGAGGCGGGACCCCCCATTTGCAAACTATGAAACTTTCCTCAAATTTGTCATTTGCATATGTAACTAGAAGAGTTCTACTATAATGCACCAAAACTTGGAGTTATTTACTAAAAATATAATTGATTTTACCAAACAGTCTAAGATACCCCCAGAGCTGGGGTAAAAAAGACCATCAATTTTTTTTAAATTACATCAAAACTATGAGAGGCAGGAGCCAGCAATTTATGGTGAGTGAAGCTAGAGTATAGACCTGTATTTTGCATGTTTCAATTTAAGTTTAACTTATCTAGTAAGAAAATGGCATCATTTTTAAAAAAAAAGTGGTCTAAGTTACCCCAGTTTACGGTACCCCAAATAACGAATTTTACCCTAAAAATAGTCTGATTGTACAGCAAGTGTCAACTGAACATGTGATAATGAAGTCTGACCGCTCTAATGTGACCGCAACTAAGTAATCATAGGCTTGATGTTTACATTTTTTTTGGTGGGAACTCATTGCAACTGATTTCCAGACAAGCTTCACTGCATCCTGATCCATCCAACATGTTGGAAACCTTACTTTTTTTTAAATAGTTGGCCGAAGACTGACAAATATATTAAATGCAAGAATTTCAATCTAAATGTGCCGGCAAGATCATCTGAAGGCGTAAATTTTGCTACTGAAGCATCGCCAAAGATCTTGCAATATTCATCCACTCTCTGCACAGTGGAAAGCTGCTACCTGCTAGAGAGAGAAAAGATGGGCTTAATAGGCAAAGACGTGTGCTGATATTACCACTGTGCAGAGAGTGGATGAATATTGCAAGATCTTTGGCGACACTTCAATAGCAAAATTTACCCCTTCAGAAGATCTTGCCGACACATTTAGATTGAAATTTTTGCATTTAATATATTTGTCAGTCTTTGGCCAACAATTTAGAAAAAATTAAGGTTTCTGATATGTTGGATGGATCAGGATGCAGTGAAGCTTGTCATGAAATCAGTTCTGATGAGTTCCCGCCAAAATATACTACCTACTACGCAAATGTAAACAACAAGTTTGCGATTGCGTAGTTGAGCGTGTTGCAGTCACATGTTGAGCGTGTTGCGGTCACATTAGAGCGGTTAGACTGCATTATCACATGTTCAGTAGACACTTGCTTTCATTGCTCTGCGTAAATAGCTTTTCATTAAAAATTTCCCGGCGACGCTGCCGACACATCTTGAAAATGGTTGGCAACGCTTTGGGCCTAAAAACCCATATATTGGCGATGCTGCTTCCACCCTCTGCACCCTGGAAGATTTTATCCAATTTCTTATGTATGATGATGCTGGTATCCAGGATACTTTACTGCAGGGTTGGCGGTTTTTTTGATTTTTTTTTTAAATAAAAAAAAATCAAAAATCAATGATTTTTTTTTATTTTTTCATGATTTATTCGATTTTTTTGATTTGAAGTGTTATTTTTTATGTTGCAATTAGCACACTAACAATAACAGTATATGGATCATAATGGATGGCTAAAAAGTTCACTTATTGCCTTCAATATTGGCCAACAGGCCAAGGTGGTGTTTACCACTTAGGGATTTTTGGGTAAACAATTATTGGTACTATGTCTATTCATTAGCTTTGTAAAGTTTGTATGGAGCAAGGTAATAAGCTAAATATTGACCATTTAACTGGCTTCAATATACAAAAACACTTCAGGAATGCAGATCTTCTAAACATTGAAG